GGGGGTTGGGGACGGGGCTGGGGAGGGAAGATGGAGGGGAGCGAGCGGGAGGTGCATGTGTGGGGACGGGGCTGGGGAGGGAAGATAGAGGGGAGCGAGATGGGAGGCGCATGGGTGACGGGGCTGGGGAGGGAGGGGAGCGAGACGGTGGGGCGGGAAGATGGAGAGGAGCGAGACGGGAGGCACATTGAGACGGGAGGTGCGTGGGTGTGGACGGGGGATGGGTGTGGACGGGGCTGGGAGTGCATGCGGCTGATATGCTAGTTACGAGGACATGGTTGCACCACAAGCATATTGCAGGCTGCCCCGGGCCAGTGCACAAGTAGAACGAAGCATGGGTGGGGGTAGTGCTGCTCCATGCTTCGCGGAAGCATGTTGGGAGGTGAGTGGAGCTGTGTTGCCGGGCTTATACGATGGTCTTGGGTATCCAAAATGTGCACAATGCATGCGCCAGACAGTCAAGCCATGGCCGACACGGCAGGATTGTTGCGTGCCAAAAGCGCAATGCGTGAAATTGGATGGTTGGAACGAACCATGGAGGGGGCTGATGCTGCTCCATGCTTCCTGGAACGGTTGTCAGAAGCCATGTTGCAATGTTGTTGGAGATTAGCTGCAGAGATTGAAAACAGCCACTTGATATATGTATATATAATTATATATATATATATAAGTATATGACCTCCAACCCGACCAAAAAGGGAAACGTCTTCTTTTCTTCTTACTGCAACGATATTTCTATCTAGGGTCTATGCCGGTGTAAACTCTTAAGATCGAAGCCCGCAAAGGTTTGTTCGAGAAAAACAAACGACAAATACTCTCCTCCTGGGATATCTCCGCCATATCGACGCCCTGATCATGCCAACGATGCACGCCGCCGGAAATCTATGCCAAACCGAATGCATTTTACTGCGTGTGATGCACTGTAGCGCTGGCACAGCAGTACGCACGCGTGTGCTTTTCCCAAAAGAATCTCTGATGCCTGGGTTCTCGTTTAGTTTAGTCGTCAGGGGGCAGAGCGAGACGAGGGAAGCATTTTCGTGGACGGAAGATGGGTGTGGACGGGGCTATGGATGGAGATGGGAGGGTGGACGGGCGTGGACGGGGCTGTGGAAGGAAGATGGATGCTAAGTAGAACGAAGCATGGGGGGGGCTAATGCTACTCCATGTCTCGCGGAAGAACGTTAGTGCGCGAGTGGAACTGTCTGGCGCGGCCTATATGACGGTCTTGGGTGTCCAGAAATGTGTGCAATGTATGCCGAAAACAGCCCAAGTCATTGCAGAAACGGCAGGATGGTGGCATGCCAGAACCGCAATGCTTCAAATTTCATGGTTGGAACGAAGCATGGAGGGAGCTGATGCTGCTCCACGCGGTTGTTAGAAGGGCTTTCAAAACTGACCAAGGGGTGGACGGGGGTGTATATGGCAGACGGGGGTGGACGGATGCGCAACAGAACCGCGATGGTTGAAGTATCATGGTTGCCACGAAACCTGGAGGGGGCTGATGCTTCGTTTTGGCCTGCTAATGTGTGTTTGTCTATTTTCCTGGGTTGCGCGCTTCTTTTTGCTTTTGGGTCCGTGGGCTCACCTTGTTTTCACTGTAGCCTCCCGCCGAACATGCGTCTGGCTTTGTGGTCGTCAGGTGGATAGAACCGTCAAGCCAGTGACGGGCATCGTGTCAGAATCTGAGGTTTGACAGATTGCTTTTTCACGCGAACTTGAATGAGTGCCGATGTCACACGCCGCCAATGTAGTTGTTTTGAGAGCGCACTTTGAGTGAGTGAGTAGATGTTCGCAAGTGAAAGACTATCGTGAGAAGGGGTTCGCAACTTGCCAATCCCATCTTGAGCTTGCCTCCGGTTCTCACTTTCTTACGAGCGTTGGTCCATGGCCTGGCATGCAACAAAGCAAGAACCCGTGGAGTTCTTGGACTTTTCTTCCTGAAAGCTAGGCAAACCAACCATTAATTATTTTTACAGCTCTGTGCAAGAACCTTTTGGTAAGGGCTCTAATCTGCCTCAGCTTGAAATGTGGTGTGCCACGAAGACAGCTAGAGCATACGGTAACTGCTGCCCATGGAATTCGACTCCTGTGCCTTTTGTTGTGAACCTCTCATCTGAAGTTCGGAATGTGCGTGCGGTCAGTGTTTTTGCAAATTTTTGCAGCTGAAAGAAGATGTGAACGTATTCTCAGCACTGTCTACGGCAGCCCCCAAAAGTGAACTGCAGCAGAGAGAGGTTCTCACAAGCTCATTCTTAGTTCAATATGCATGTGTATGCTACATATATATATATGTATATATCCCTCTCTCTCTATGTGTATATCTTAGCCCTTTTAGCCATGCGGAATAGACATGCAGTGATATCTTCTTGAGCGTTGAGCCCCTTTCAGAGATGCCCTGTAGAGCTGAAGGCCAGGAGCAGCCGCTGGGCATGCTGCACTGGATGACTTCTTGAAGCGGTTGTCAAGGTGAGCTTACGCAATTAGCCATATCAAGCGCAGGTTAACCTGACACAAGATTTTGGAGCACGCTGCTAGGTACGCAGACGACCGCAATAATCCAAATGCTGTAATCCTAGTGGTTGAGTGCAAACGCATCATTGATCATTAGTTTCTAGATGTCTTTAGGTTGTTCGCCGACACCTTCTGAGCGAGGTACAGGCTTTGTCTGGCTTGTCACCATGGCTACACTTTGGACCCTGGTGCAGCAATTAGAAGCGTTTTTGGTTTGATGCTGTTTGTGCGGGGGCTGTTGGATGAGTGTGGGCTTGAACAAATTAGCTGAAGTGGATGAGTGAGAAGAGAAACATGCGAGGGGACTCAAGGTGATTCAGATGAAGCTGTGCTCCGAATCATGGTGAACAGAGCTGAAAAACAAGCTGTTTGGGCCCTTTACCTGGCCCCCCTTATTCAGGGGCCCAAACACCGCCGTTCTTTTTTCACACTCTAAATGTCTCTCTGGATGTAGACATCAATATGGACACCCTGTTTGAACCGAGGGCAAATCTCTGCACAGCGCTGTGCTCGCCTCCTAGAAAGCTCTTGTCGTTTTCTTTCCTGGGAACGGCGAGAGGTGCATCTGAAAGGCCGTGTGTTTTGGTTTCCCCGAGTTTTCTATAAATTGATAACAGGCAGCGTTGCTCTCGTTGACATAGAACAAAGGTCATGAGATGTCACTAAGATTTCATGACATATCGCCATGCTGTTTGCCCTTTGCGTTTTTGTGTGTGTACCCCTTGTAATCAGAGGGATTCCGTTGAATTGTTTTTTCTGTTTAGCAGGGGGG